TATTAAACACTAGAATTTTACACCTTTAGGGACTTCATTTTTGATTGGGTAATTTCCAGATATATATGTATATGTGTATACATATATATATATTTCATAACTACCTTTAGAGCTTAACAACAATTCAAGTATCTGAAAAAATGTTGTGTCCAAAGTACTGTAAACAATATACTCGAGTCTAAATAACATGATAAAATTTATAGTTCACTCTATATTGAGCATTCTCATGAACAGGGTGAAAGAACAGAAGGCATATCCTAGTGCTGGAGATATAGCTCTGCAGCTTAAGCACCTACCTGGCAAGTGCAAGGAACTGAGTTCGATCCCCAGTACCACAAAAACAAAAAAAAACATATCCCAGTAAGATCCACATCCTTTCCTAAAGCTTTCTAGCCATGAATATTTCTCTATATGGAAAGCAGCTATGCTCACCACTGTCCTGCCAAGTCTTCATGCCCACTTGGAAAGGACACAGGTGCAGAGGGCTAACAATATATAGGCAGCACCCAACTAAGTCAAGACTAGAACCCTGAAATTAAACCTGCAGACTCTGACAGTCATGTTCCTTCTACATTTCCCCTCCATAACCATGGGTAGCTAGGTGAGAGGAATGAGAATGATGGAACTGACAGGGAGGCCCCAACATTCACCAAGGCCAGCTGCCCAGTCACTGCTGCTCTTCAGACTAGTTCTAGGCCTGTTTCATCACTGACCCCTAAAGCTCCTGGCTACCTGACTGTGCAGAGGAGAAAGGTCTTCAAGTTGTTAGGCAACTATATGCTCACCTCCACTTCCCACTTCCAAATGTATTTATCTTTGACCTATAAAAGATTTAATACTTGACCACTTATTTATATATTTTCTTGCAAGGGTCAGAGCCACATAAAACTTTCTGCAATACCAAATAAAAGTATGATTTGGGGTTGATGACATCTGTGTCTCCTATTTAAAAAAACTGATTATTTAACAAGTGTGTAATAATAATCAGATTACAATGGATAGAGATAACTGATCTAAATACAACTCAATTGCACTTGAAGATTTAAAATGCTTGTGGTTAGGGCCAGTGAGAGCTCAGAAGACTAAGTGCCTGCTTAGACAAGTGCAGGGACCAGGATGGCACCATATGGCACACTGGCCCCACCCCCAGGCACACTGAGCTGGCAACCAAGGCCAGGTGTGGTGGTGCACACCTGTATTCCCAGCGCTAGGGAGGCTGAAAACAGGAGGAGACTGAAAACGAGTCCAATCTGCATAGTGAGACCCTGTACCAAATACATTAAAAAAAAAAAAAAAAAAGCCTATGGTTTGGAAAACCTTGGAAATGTTTTACTGTGCTACAAGAGCTTACACATGACAACAGAACAACTTAACTACAGTTACTATAAAATCCTTACCATTTCAACAGCAGGGCTTGTATTCCTGCCTTTCCAAACAGGGGTTTTCTGTAAAGAACTGTACTTTTCATTCCATGTGTTAGATAAGCTTCCCTCTGTAATGAATAATTAATACTAATAAAATTTTGGTTCATAGTGTTTTATACTATGAACACTATCTCTTTTATAGTAATGTATCTAAAATATATCCCAATGTAGAAAATACACTGATCGTAATAATTTTAGTTTATTACAGATGAAAAATCTGATTTGTGTAAGACCCTTAATAATCTGATAAGGTAATGCATCTTGAAAACATGACATTTCTATACTAAGCCAGATATTGTGGTACATCCCTATAATCCAAGCACTTGGGAGGTTGAAGCAGGAGGATTGTGTGAGTTTGAGGCCAGCATGAACTACATAGCTATATCCTGTCTCAAAAAACAAAACCACACACACACACACACACACACACACACACACGCACAGGTGTGCATACAAACAAAATCTATACTAAAACATATAGCTTCTACATCTACCTGGCAAGCTCAAATTCCCAAGTTCAATCCTTGATACCATAAAACAAAATAAAACATAAAACATATGCCTTCTTTTCCCCCTTGTTTTTCAGTTTTTGATAAGTTCTTCTATTCTAAGTGCCATAAACTATCACAAAATTTTTAGTACAATTTTTAGTGAAAGTAGGGCAATGGAAAACAGAAAAAAAAAATCCCCTTCTAATCCTGAATTTAGAGCATATTTATGAATTTTTTTGCTTCAATATATAAAACCTTGATGTATGAAACTGAAATTAGTCTGGTGTTTCTGTTTGCTTAATTAAAAAGAAAATGTCTTCAGAGTTGTGCAGAAAGGAAAAATCTAACAAATAACTGTGAGGTATTATGAAAATAAAGTGAATTTTTTTCTAGCACTTTCTATAAGAAATTTATATTAGTTGAGTATTTTTTTTAAAAAGAAAAACAGGGTTAAGTGCACAGGTAGAGTGCTGGCCTGGCACACACCTATATTACCAGCTACCTGGAGGCTGAGCAGGAGCAGCCCTACAGACCAAGCGCTCAAGGGCAGACGGGGCAACACAA